GAAAAAAGAAACGGTAAAGCTCAGTCAAGATCACGTAGGCGCCGACGCTTTGCAGCTCTCTATGAAGAGAAAATAGAACAATTATGGTTGGAAGGTTCAATTTCATCAGCAGAAAATATTCCATTTACATCTGATTCCGCCTCTGATCAGGATCCAACTCCGTTCCCCGGCTCTGGAGCTGTTCGAGGACTCGGGTCAGAGTCATAGATCAGCTACTTACCCAATCAGGTAACCGGCTCCTGAGCGAAAATTACTTCCTTCCGACCACTTGCAATAACCTGCGCTGACCTGTAGCAATTAGAGTTAAGCGGGGATCCTAATCATGAGAAACCCTCCGGGTCAGCACACGCACACTCCACCCCAGCCCACCCAGCCTCCTCCAGTGCCACCCCCCCCCCTCCCCGCCAGATAGGCCAGTGCTGAGTGCAAGTGTTTAAACTGTCACATCAAATCTACTCAGAGTGAGGTTACTTGTGCAGGACGCATCGTGTGTTTAGTTCGATGCCGACTGCAATATCCTGCCGCCCCGGTGATCCCCGCAGCTTTGGGTGCGGGACGGCCGTGAGCGGTGTCAAGTGGAGGTGACCGGTGCCAGGTACCGATCGGCCAGGGGGAAGAGTGGAAGGCCGGCCAGGAAACGGAGGGGCGTTTTAGCTAAGAGCACTGGAACAGATCAATAACCTGGACGAGAAACAGGGCCCCCTGGCTGTTTGTTGTAATAGGAATGGGCGTCCACTGTGTGGAGATGCCCCCCAAAAGGGGCAAAGAGTGACAAGAGTCTCATCCACGCTAATGAAGTTTCATGCCTTGGGTATGCTCGAAACAGCAAAGCTTTTAGATGTGGTTCGGGGCACAGAGCGACTACACGGCTACGAGGGCGCTTTGTTTTTCTACCGCGAGCCGGGCCAACTTCTTGACAGCTGATTAATGTCTCCAAATCTCACTCCTTCCAGAAGTCTCAAAGTATTTGCAGCACGGAGAGTACAGTTCTGAGCGGCATGAGCTCCAGGATCACTGGAGTTACAAGCAAAAGTGTTTTTCAGCAGTGCTTTAACAGAACTGGGATAAGAGGGATAATTCTCGGGGGACTTGTAACATAGGTGTGTGTGATAGAAAATTATTTAACTGTAGACAGAAAAAAACGTCTTAAACAACTAACAAAAAAAGATCAACCCAACTTTTCACTTGATGACAGTAAATGCAGACCAGTTGCAACTAGCTGTCATAGAAAGTCTATTTCCGTTTGAAACCCAAATGTGTTTTTTGTGTGACAAAACATAACCTTAACCCTTTCCATTAGGTTTTTCAACCTAATGGTTTTCCACTCACAACATGAGTGGAAAATTAATTACTGTGTCCCACCAAACCAGGGTGTAAACGTGTTAAAGAATATCAAACTGCACGTATAAGCGCAACCAGACTAAAAAGGTCTTTAACTGTAGGTCAGCGATCGTGCACATTCTGAATATTAGGCCACTCGTCCCCACTTTCTACCTGTCTGTTAGACCAGCTCGGGTCTACAGACATATCACTGAAAAGTAAATAAGCAGATTTAGTTATGTATGCATAAGTTCCCGACATGACCTTTATCAAGCAACACCCAAATATGTGCTTGGTTATTTATTTAAAGGGATGGAGGGGTCACAGGAGACTGCACAGCTGGATTGACTTTGTCCCGTCTGTCCCTTCTGAAACCTGAGTTAAAAAAAACAACAAAGAACTTAATCATCTTTCTCTTGGGCATCGCCACGGGACACCCTTTATTCTGTATGATGAAACATAAATACATAAACATGGTGTCCCTGGACTTACTGTAAAAACTGCGACACATTTTTCCAGATTCTGGGTCTGCCGTGTCAACCAGCTGGCCAGAAAGAAAACAGAAAACGAGGTGAGCATCATCCCAAGACAACAGTGGTGGATGATTGCAGGATCCTTTCATCATGAAGAGCAACCACTTCATGACTCCCAGCCAAGTGGAGAACCCTCTCCGGGAGCGAACTGTGTCATTTTCTGAGTCGACTATATAGAAAAGGACTTAACAAGTGAAAATTATAAGATGCAAGCCACTTGTAAAATGAATGGCCAGATTAGACTTTGCCAAAGAAACGACAGACGCAGATCTTTAAAAAGCCAGAGCACTTGATTCTGTCTGGACATAAAGCTACATAAACCTGCGCCAGATCGAAAAGAGTGGAAAGATGTACGGCTCGGATTGGCACCCAAACCGCAGCGTGCAACAAGATCTGTAAAAGATTTGCCAGTAGTGCGATGTGTTGGACATGTGAGACTTCCAGTGAGGTTATTAGCATTTATTGATGAGGTGACAGATGAGAAAAAAGCAGAATGACCCCTAAAGTACACAATGTCTGCTAAGATTCATTCAAATGCAACAAATATCATTAAAAAAAAGCCTTCGTTGTAAAATTGATTGATTTTATTCAGCCAATCATTTAAAATACAAACATGAAAACAAATCTGTTCAAATTAAGTTACAGATTATTGGCTTGTTTGTTTCAGAAGAGCATACAGAAAATTATGTTTTTATCTCAAAATTACTGGTAGACGTTATTTTTAGTTAACAAAATATCAGTGATACCTTTAAAAGCAGCAACAAGTCATGTTTAGTCCCAGATGGCCATTCTGCAGAGGAAGCCATGTCCTGAGGGTTTGTCACAATGACAGATACTTTCCATATAACCTAAAATAATTAACTCCAATGTTTACATAAAAAACATTACTCTCGCAGCTTTGAATGCAGTTAAGTTGGGTCCCCAAGTTGTGTGCGTAGACCCCCATGTTTCTCCAGAGGAGGTCTGCCCTCCTTCTCAATCACCTGCTGCTTCTAACAACTTTAATAAATGATGCTTTGAGGACCCACCGCTGTGTGGCTCTGTCAGAGAAACGCACCGTGCCTTTGCCTGTTTGCCTATCGCTGTTCGCCAGTCGAAGCGGCCCGCTCTCCAACTGAACAGGAAGTCTGCTAATCTGTAACCCGAACCGGGGGGAAGGAAGAAGTCAGGAACCAGCCTTCAGTGCTTTCACCAATCGTATTCATCACCAGGGCCGCACTGAGGCTCGTTTAGAGTGGGAGCATGACTTAACTAAATATCTTCGCCATAAAATAAATGCTTCCAGGTTACTCCCAGTCCAGGTTGCAGTCCGAGGAGCATCTGATCTCAATTACCAGGAATGCTGTAGGAAGCGGAGAGCCTCGGAGTGCTGCCTGGGCCAACGACGCCATGGCAACGAGGCCTATGCCAACAGGAGTCCAGCAGCAGCAAATAACGATTCGATAATTAGTTCCTGATGCTTCTTATTCTTTTTCATATCAATCATGTCGAGGAAACAAAGTGTAACTCGCATGCAGTTTGTTTTTTAAAGATACAGACACGTGTTGACGGGCTGGTTGGGGTGCTTAATGCCCCTCGATGAGTTATGTATGGATGCCGTTCCTCACAAACAAAACTTCCAAACGCTAAACTCTACCCGTCTGGCGATAATATATCACTGTTAGAGGTTTCTGTTGTTGCTCCCACTAAATCCCAGGAGATTTGTGAATAAAACAAAAGTTCTCCTTGCACTTGAAAATGAGTTAGAGTTCCCAGAGTGACCAAATGCTACTTGTTATCATACAGTACCCCATCACATATTCCTCATTCTGCCACACATGTGCTTTATTGTTTATGTTTGGAAGGGATGATGGCTCTTTTTTTTAATTTTCATTTTTTACAATGCTTACTTTGGCAAGGAATGTGTCCTCAGTTTAAACAAACATGTGACAAAGCTCATCACTCAAAATATTCCTTTTAAAAAGTAGTCTGTTGCATGTTAATCATGATTTAACGCTTCAAATCACTTAATATAAAAAGAAAAGCTTGTTAGCAGAGTCGGTTTATACACCATAGTGAACAAATGCAAACCATAACTTGTGGTTTGTGCCCGATATTCACTCAAATCAGTGTTAAATATTTGAAAAATTCCCAATGGCATGGCTTAAACTGCCACAATCTGCTGACGGCATAGTTGAAAAGAATTTTTGGAGGATGCTTTTATCCAGATTGAGCTTATCTAAATGTGGACACTGCAGACGGGCAAGTCCTGAAATTGCAACAGCATGGAAGGAATCAGGCAGGAGCGTTACTAGAAAAAGGCAAATATCTCTCTCACACACACACCAGCTTGGCGTGGACGGTCTTCCAGTGGGAAGGTATCGGAGATCAAAAGCTGGCAAGGTCTTCAGCCACAAACAAGCCCAGTTTTCATGTTCATTCTTTCCTCTCATTTATCAAACGGTTCAAACCAGCTTTTATCACCAACCCACATGTCAGTCTCCCTGTCTGAACCCTCTTAAAGGTAGAGACAATACTTTGTGTGTAATTTGTGGTGGTTCAGTGTAATCATATGTTACCTCACAGATGGGTTAAGTTCTAATGATGAATAAAAGTGGGTTTCAAATTCGTTCTTGTAGGTTATAAATGAAGTATTTTATTAGAGCTGCTTGTCGGGCATGGAGTTGTGGAAATGTGGAAAATTGTTGGGGTACCACATAAATGAACCGTCATTTAGAACATTAAAAGTAAACATAATGTGTAAGCAGATTATTTCTAAACTGGTTTTGCACTACTAGACAGGATTATTAAAGATGACTCCATAGCTCAAGTTTGATTTATGAATTAGCCAGCAGGTGGAGGTAAAGTATTTAGATTCTCCGTTGAATACAGCCTGCTGTTGATTTACTACATTTTAGAATAAAAGGAAAACATCTAAGCATGTTTTCTTCAAAACGGTACACATGACTTTCAAATAGCAAATCGATTTAAACGTTTACATTGGAGTAATTTCCCCACCATTTAAAATTATGAGTTGTTAAAACTCTGAGGCCTGTTGCTCTATATGTTGTCTTTAAAATCTATTAAATACAGGAAGTAGAGGAAGCTGTGTTACCGCCCACTGTAGATAACTGGTGCTTTAAACAGGCATTAACAGGAGTATGGAGGGGGCAATTTTTGGAACTCAAGCTGCACTGTAAAACATAAAATTGTAGAAGACCCTGTTTTAATTGGAATAATTATGAAAGGTGAGTCTCAAACTCCAACAGTTATACTGTTTCCTGCTCTGAGAGGAGTTTCTCATTTCAGGATAACTCTGAACTTGTATCACTTTAATGTTACTGCTTGTAGAGTTTAACATCTTCTCCATGTGGGCGCTCCTGCTGCTGCTGGAGAGCTCATCATCTGCTGATGACTCAAGTGTTGGTAAGATGTTTTTTTTTTCTTTTACCAAATAGCTGATGATATATTGTTGGCGACTAATTGTGTTTCTTTTATTTTTTTTCTTCTTTTTTTTGTTCAGCTAGAGTTTATGTGTTTCATGTGAAAATGCCAACTGCTTTGTGCTAGGCAAAGGTTTTGCTTCTCTTGCTATCTCTCTGACTCAGACTTACCTGCAGTTATTTGAAAGTCTTCTTTAGAAATCTGAACCTATCCAGGCTGTGTTATTTTTTTCATTAATTTCCTAACCAGCTTTTGTCAGGTGTCTTTATTTTTTGGTTTTGTTTGTTAAGCCATTTGACTTGACTTGACTAACTTTACCAATAAAAAAGCATCTAACTCAAAGACCGTATCACACATTGACTGCACATGTACTTGAGGTCATCACATTTCTTCAGTTTATTAAAAACATTGCTAAGTACAGCCTCCTGTTTGGTAGTCCTACATGCCACATTGTAAAGTGTGTCCTTAAAGAAATTAGGTATCTGAAAAAGTCATGTGGAGGACCTCCAACTAACAAATAAAAATTGTCTTGGTTGGTCCAATGCTTATTCAAGCCTTATCAGAAATAGTGCAGGGGAGGCTGTCAAGAACCCTTTTTAAATAAAGGCGAACAAAAATAAAAAGCTGAGTTTCAGGAAGGGATGAAGGTGTGGTGATGTGCTACCAGAGGCCAGTCCGCTCAAAAACCCATTCAGCTGAGATGGGTTTTTGTAAAGAAGAAACAATGTTAATTATGCATTGCCAAGAGAAAAATGGGTGCATTTAGGGTTAGAGTTGGTGCTCAGTCTGAACTCTCAAATCAGGAGCAAATTGCAGCACTGTATTCAAATTGTGCTGACGTTGTATGAAGTCTTCCTTGGAACGTCTAAAAGAGAGGTCTGAGCTTTATTTTAAACATGTAAGGAGGCCATCCATATTGCAATCTACAACTACCAATTTAAGAAAAAATAAATAACATCAAACTTGAAACTTTTCATGCACAAAACATCATCCATAAGAGCCGAGAAATACCATCTAATTGGCTTCCATCATGTTAACAAATCCATCGATTTGCTTCTAAAATTGTCTCATCTTGTAGACAAAAGAAAGGATAAATGTATTCGCAGATAATAAAAGAAATTATAGCTACATAAAAGTATGACAAACCCTGTCTTTGTCAGAATAAGTTACCCTGTGATGCTTTTATAGAGCTAAGTTTTTCCTTTGAAACAGACTTAATGGGTTTCAGTCTAATGTATGGAGTATAATGCTTATCCTTGTTGATCTTCAGAAATTGAACATGTATGTATATTTTTTAGATAATTACATTGTCTGGCTTCAGACACTGGAGTGCATTTATTGCCCTTACTGGATGAAAAGTATCTATACAGCTATAAGAGGAAGAAAATTATGCAGCGTCATGTTATCACATTGGACTTCTGCATGTATGAGACAAGAACAGGAAGCTATAGTTCAGCAAGTGTTAAAGATATGTGGAGGTGGTTGTGCTGTCTGATATGTGTATTAATAGGTTTGCGTTACAGGCTTTTTACGAAGTTGTAGTAGAACTGTGACTGTGTGGCAACAGTCATAAATTGAGTGGGTAATACTGTAGATACGTTGGTGGCACATGAGTGGTGATCTTTCCAAAAGTGATTTAAGCACAAACTCTTATTCATGTTTGAATTAGCTTAACTATTTTATTTAACTTTCAATCAAACAGTTTGTGACTTTTTGTGTAATTACTGACAACCCATTAGGCCCCGTTCATATGGGGAATATTCACCTATGCATTAATGTAAATAACTATTTTTTGTCATGGTCCGTAGTGAATCCCTGTTGCTACTACCCATGTCAGAACTCCGGGGTCTGTGTGCGATTTGGCACTGAAAGCTACAAATGTGACTGCACCCGTACAGGGTTCTACGGAGAAAACTGCTCCATTCGTAAGTATCTAAGAAACTGGATCCTGTCTCACACCCTGTCAGGCGATACACACTGTGCAGATTGACTATACAGTGTGTTTGGGCTTTTATGGAGGGAGCATTAAACACAATTTATGTCCTAAAAATTGTTCTTCAATGTTGCGATTTTAGCGGAGTTATGGACAAGAATTCGTCTCATGCTGAAGCCCAGACCTGCAGTGGTTCACTTCATCCTCACTCATTTCCACTGGTTCTGGGACCTCGTCAACAACTCTTTCCTGCAAGACACTGTGATGCGACTGGTCCTGACTGGTGTGTGAAACCATTAAAAACCACTCAGCAAGGTGTCCCAATGATTCTTGTCACCACATCAAATCAGCTCAACCATTATTTCTGCTGAGTGGTGGTGTATTTATTTTAAAAGTGGATCAGTATCATTCAGAAAATCTTTTGTAGGAAAAATGATTGCATTTAAATTTGTTAGTTAATTGGATTGCCCCTGTCTTTAAACAAGATTGCTTGAATAATAACTGATGCAGCAGATAAATATCCAGTGTAATTCTTAAAAGATATTAGGTTTGTGTATAAATGAGGATTTTTTTTACGGTGAACAAAACTTGATTTGTCATTGTCAGATTGAGCCAGAAGAGAAAATGAGTCACACTCAATGTTATTCAAATCAAGGTTTCAAAGGCTAAATAGGAAGCTGTAACTTTAACAGCTCCACGGTGTTTAGAAACTGAGTGCCAATAAACTGTGTAAACTTATGGATAGTTTTGGGAAAAACGATAAATAAGTTAATGATTATGGTTTTATTCAATAACATCTGCTAAAAGCCCTCCCCAATAAGCACTTGATGTCAAATAGATAATTACTGATAAGGCATCTACATTAACCTGAGAAACATTATTGATTAAACACCATTTCCAAGATATTCAAAACCTTTGGTTAGCAGTATCCCAAAGCCATTCATTGGTTTCATTACACTTAAATTTCTTGACCAGAGGAAAGCTGCCCCCCTGACTTCTGCCTTAGTTTTATATTTGCCCTTTATTAATCCTGAAACAGGCAGCTACATCAATTGAACTGGCTGAAGTGAAAAATACACAGATACATTTATTAATTCTTCTTATTGTCAATTTCTATCACAGTCAGAAGTGACCTGATTCCAAGCCCTCCGACATACAACTCAAAGTATGGATACCTCAGCTGGGAATCTTACCAAAACCTCTCCTACTACACACGGATCCTCCCTCCTGTGCCCGCTGGCTGCCCTTTGCCCATGGGAGCTAAAGGTGAGACCCTAAAAACTTAGCACAGACTACTGTGTTCTGGATGCTTGACTGTCATTAGTTTTAACCACCAGTTTAGACCCGAGCTTTGGTTTGGTGTGCATTTTTTGTTTCTCCCAGATATATGGAATCAGTAGGACCGAATAAATTGAATACATTTTTGACTGATTATACTTGGTCTCAGGATATACTAGAGGAAGTGCACTTACTGTAAATTCCGGACCATAAGCCGTTACCTTTTCCCCACACTTTGAACACTGCGGCTTATAATACGGTGCGGCTAATACATGTTTTTTTCATGGCGCCAAAAACAGTAGACCAATAAAATGAATGAGTACTATACTTAAACTAGCTCTAAAATTAATTTAGGTATGTTATGACGCTTCCTCTTTAAAATTTCACACTTTTACTGCAGTGTCACCCTGCAGAGGGCCACTCTCCTTGTGCCGTCTAAATTCTGTAGATGTGTTCACAAAGCAGATGCAGAGTAGGTGCTTTATACCAATTCTAACTTCAAAAAAGGGTTTATTATGTTTCTCTCATATTTATGCTCTTTCTCGTGCTAAAACTGCCATGCCAGTAAACGTTTGCTTGCTTGCTTTTCTTGTCTTCCCGATTTTAGGGAAACCTGTCCTCCCTGATACCAAAGTGTTGGTTGAGACCTTTTTCAAGAGAAAGAAATTTAGGCCAGATCCACAGGGAAGCAACTTGATGTTTGCCTTCATGGCTCAACACTTCACCCACCAGTTCTTCAAGACAAATCATAAAATTCAAGGGGGCTTCACCAAGGCTTTGGGCCATGGGGTAGGACTCACCAACCTTCTGCCTATAGCAGCCAATTGCAGCTGTGATGTATTTCTGAACAAATAAGGAGGCGTTGTTGCTCTCCCAGGTGGATGCAAGCAACATCTATGGTGAGGACCTTGCGAGGCAACATCAACTTCGTCTTCATGTAGATGGGAAACTGAAATATCAGGTGACGAAGGAATAGGTTGACATTTGGAGAAATGTAATGCTTTTTACAAACAAATTTGCAAGTTTTTTGAGACAGTAAGACTGTAAGTTAACGTAATGATGGACCCCCTTTACTCCTTCTATAAGGACATTCCAAAGTTCTTCTCAAGGTTTTGGTTTTGTTCACTCGAGATGATCCCACATCTCCTCCATAAAACCTATTGCCACTGATTTTAGCTCAGTTTCTCTTTCACAGAGAGTACCTCGGGCCATTTCTCCTTGTTTCCCTTTGTTTAAAATGGCTTATAGCAGAAGGAGACTATATCTTCTCAGGCTTTGGTGAATAGTAGGAGGCCAGCTGAAGTTCATATGCAACTTTGAGGTCTTTGCTAGTCTTTAGGGTTAGAAGCTAAAAGTTTATTTGTCCATCACATCTGCTTTGTCCCCTAATGTATAGTGTCTTTCAATGGGAACACTGCCTACCTTGATTAGATTTTCCAAGGTTAATTTTTTTCTATGGCTCTTCAGAATACTCTAAAAGTTGGTTCTTCTTGATTTAATCTTATCATACATCTCTCCCGAGGAGATGTTAGTTGTGTTTGTCCAAAATGTGTTTAACTTTCTGTAAACTCTCGATTTCCCAGAACGATATGGTTCTTCATCAAGATAGCAGTTTTAGTGGTTAAAGCGCTTAAAGTTCACAATCTGGCCACTCATATTTTATCACTTCATGAGACGCTCTTGTAGGCGTTTAAAAAATATGAACGCGTATGTGAAAAAGTAAATAACTTTAAACACGTGCCTCCTCAGATGCTAAACGGCGAGATGTATCCACCTCCAGTTTCTGAGGTTCCCGTCCACATGGTGTACCCCGAAAGCTTCCCGGCCGCTCAGCGCCTGGCCATCGGTCAGGAGGTGTTCGGCCTCCTGCCGGGCCTCACCCTGTACGCCACCATCTGGCTGCGGGAGCACAACAGGGTCTGTGACATCCTGAAGGCTGAACATCCAACCTGGGATGACGAGCAGCTTTTTCAGACCTCCAGACTCATCATCATTGGTGAGGAAAAGTCAAACTACGGGAACAATTCCAGAGAGGGTGAAACGACAAAAACAACCCCAAAAAATGTTAGCTGCTTGCTCAGAGGTGAACTTTGAATATATGGGAACGCTGTGCAGGGTAACGCAATCCAGTTACGCAACTCAAACGACCATTTCTTAAATAGTGGAAGTGCAGATTCACTTTTGTGCAATGCTACATGAGATAGTGACTTTAACTGTCCAGAGACTAATAAGAAATTCTCTGGAGGTTGAATACATACACAGCTGCAATTTTATCCTTGTACGCAGTCTCGTAAAAAAAAACATCAGCAAAAGGAAAAATTATCCAAATATAATCCAATATAATTATTGTTGTACAGGCCGGTCTATATAGCTTATATAAGATTCTCCACCTGGTTTATATGGTTGTGATGCACATTTATTATGTCTTACTAAGTCCTGAGAATCTGTCCTTTACCATCCATATTGCAGAGCCTTTTGGTTGTTGACTGTTTTTAATTTTTTACCTCCAGGTGAGATCATCAAAATAATAATCGAAGAGTACGTGCAGCAGCTGAGCGGCTACCTGCTCAAACTGAAGTTTGACCCCTCCCTGCTCTTCGACGTGCGTTTCCAGTACAGTAATCGGATCTCTCTGGAGTTCTGCCACCTCTACCACTGGCACCCGCTGATGCCGGACAGCTTTCTGATCGACGGGGATGAGATTCCTTACTCCCAGTTTTTATACAACACCTCCCTCCTCATGCATTATGGCATCGAGAAGTTGGTGGATGCTTTCTCTAGACAGCCTGCGGGACAGGTAATGGAATTATACATCCCCAGAACTTAGATACTATCAGCAGGGTCACCTGCCTCTTCCAAGCTTCCTTCAAAGGTTTTTTCTTTTTCTTTTTTTTGTCAAAACATAGTAGCTTTTCAGTCTTTAAGGCATAAAGGTGATATGTTTTACCAGTGTGTTCACAAAGTTGTGTTTGGTCTTAAAATGGACCAGGAGGCCAAGGAGAGTGGAAGCTTAATAGATGTATCTTACATTTTTCTTTTTTTTTTGGCATTGATTATTATATCACAGTTTATTTGCTGTGGCATGTTAATTCCTAGACTAAAAAATTAATCTAAATGATATTTCTGTTGTTTTTTTTGTTTTTTTTACAGAGAATTCAATGTAAATTTATCAGAAAGAAAAATACTTTCAAGGTCCACGGTTGCCACTTGTGATTTTAAGTTGACATTAATTTAATTTGACGCTTCGACATCCCATTCTGGTAATTGTGTCTCACCCTGTTGCCTCGCTCATCACGTCTGTTCTTTGTCCTGTGTGCTGACTAGTGCTCCGTTCTTAGTTAATCAGCAATCCCAATAAGGGCTGTTCACATTCTCTTGAATGATATGGAAATGAGCCTCGTTGCTGTCTTTATTTCCTCTTTTAGAATAACACTTGACCAGCCTTTTTGAAAGAAAGAATATAGATAACCTGCAGTAATATGCAGCAGTGCATTCAGTGTATTGAAACAGTGTATTTATACAGTGTATAAATACATTGTTTCAATATATTTATAGCAGAGAAAAAGGCGAAGTTAAGTTTTTAGATAAGGCTTGAAGATATAACACAGGAAATATCACACAGGAAGTTGTGTTTTAGATCTGTGGTTGACCTTTTATCTTTCACTCAGGACCAGTCTTGTTTCTAAACTACCAAATTATTTACATGCAGATATCTTTGCTAACTATAGGTTAAGCAATAGCCTCCCACATTATGCAGTGTCAAAGTAAGTGAGCTCCTAAAGAGCTTAACATTGGTTAAGCTAAATGTTATACAAGTTATATAACATAGTAAAAGACAGTAATTTGTGTTACTACTTGCCTCTTTTAACAAAACCAATGTGGGTATACTACCACATTTGTGGAACCACTAACTGTTCACTTATCCAACCAAAGTGCAATTCTCATTACTTTACTTTCAGAAAGATCATAATCATCATGGAAATTATTGCTAGTTTGTGAAGATTGATACAGGAAGACAGTTTATTAATCTATATTCAAGGTAACTTGTTTCTTTTTTCCATCTTTCAGATAGGTGGGGGGCACAATTCTCATGAAACGTTGCTTAAAGTGGCTGAAATAGTCATCAGAGACTCCAGAACGGCGCGGCTTAGGCCTTTCAATGAATACAGGAAGAGGTTCAACTTGAAGCCGTACTCATCTTTTGATGAATTCACTGGTATGTTGGAAGCCTGTTTGTTGTACGTGCTTGTAATGCTGGAGAATATTTCCGTATATATTCTACAAATGTTTTTGTCTGTTGATGTGAATTTAAAAAACACTGTAGCTGACATGGTTTGAACAACAGGGATTTTTTTTGAGTTTCGGGGTTCCATGGCATTCTGTAAATGCTTTGAAGCTTCACGGTTGGGTGTAATAGTGGAACACAGGCAGATAAAGTACAAAATATAATTTGAATGAATTAATAGACAAATAAAAGCAAAGGCATTTCAAGGCAGGGTGTCTATACATAAAAAAGGTTCAACAGAGCAGACGGAGCAGAGCGATTTTTAACATGAGGACACAGCAAAAAGCAAATAAAAGCTTGACCAGGAGAAAAAGAAACCATGTCAGCTTTTGAGATTACAACTAGCTTACACTCAGAAAGTTTAAACTACTTAGTTTTTGAGCAACCCATGACACATAACCATATTAGGCCTTTCTGAGTACAGCTGGGCAGATGGAAATGACAAACTAACTGTAACAGAAACTGAAACTTGACTTTTTTGTCATTTAAATGACTAAGAATGCCCAATTAGCTGCTGTTTTTCTTCTGAGAACAGATGATGCTGAAATGGCCCGAGGTTTAGAGGAACTCTATGGGGACATAGACGCTCTGGAGTTTTACCCTGGTATCCTGCTGGAGAAGACCCGTCCCAACAGCATATTCGGTGAGAGCATGGTGGAGATGGGCGCTCCCTTCTCCCTGAAAGGCCTGCTGGGAAACCCCATCTGTTCCCCTGAATACTGGAAACCCAGCACCTTCGGAGGGGAGACGGGCTTCGGCATGGTGAAGTCGGCCACTTTGAGGAAGCTGGTGTGTCTCAACACCAAGTGGTGTCCATATGTGGACTTCCATGTCCCACGGGACGAACAGGAGGCAAAACCGAGGAAACCACCCACTGAACTTTGATGAAGACTCACCTGACACTCTTTATTAGTTAAAATCAGTGACATGCTCTCTGAGCACAGAGGATGATTTTGATATTTCGGAGTTACTTTTTCAAGTTTGCATACAGTTAGAAATGGTATATTTATGCTGGACTACCTCCTAAAAACAGGGCTGACAAATACGTTTTTCCAGCTTGGGCATCATAGTTTCAAGGATTGGATGAAAGTTCTCCCATCAATACAGAAGCTTCTATAAATATTGTTTCATCAACATTTGAGTATTGATGTGACTACATTTGTGATTTTTGTGAGTTTTCTGTGTAATTACCCATTCAAATATGCAAATTCATTCATTGCAAATAAAAAGAAGAACAAAAATAAGCTTACTGTTTTGGCTGTTTGTTTTTTAAATCAAAAACCCACATTGTTTAAATATTTCTAAGTTCGGTCCAATAATGACTGTCAGTTAATGCTCATATTATTTGCATATTGCCAAGCACTTTACCATAGTAAAATTAAAAACTTATAAGGTGAAATACTGATGAACATCTGGACGGAGCCACTGTCACATATCACACACTTTCAGTGTTCCTGGCAGCTTCTCCTTTTTTTTTTAAACATGCAAATATGACAATCTTCATTTTCTGATGTTAAACCTGTTTTTTCCCACGATTGCAGCGGACACTTATGAAGAACTGCTTCAACTTGTTTTGAACTGGTGGAGTTATTGCACTCGGTTATCAGAGTTTCTTCCTCTTAACAGGCACCTCCTCCAAAACTTTCACATGTTGAAGCAATCTATAGACACGCCAGCATAGCATAACCACAACTAAGACTTCTTTGAATTCCTCTGTGGGGAAAGCAGCTGTGAGAACTTGATAAACAGTTATCAATTGGTTATAAAGCTTTGGTGAGTTTTGGACATGGAAACATGAACAAATTATCCAGAAAGTGGTTGAGCTGTTATCTAGTCTAACCTCTTTTTTTCTTTTGCAACATTCTTTTCCATATCTACATATCACTGATCCAAATATGTGAAATAATATTACACTAGGACATAGTTACATCAAGATTCATCATAATTCTTTGTATTATAACGATATAAATCTGAGATTTGACAAATTACAAACACACACTCATGCAAAGTCATTATTTATTTTATTCATATACGGTTTTTTAATGTCTTGACATTCAAACACAGTATATTTTGTTATTACCTATCTCCAGGATGCAGGCATGTGCATGTATCTATGTAAGAGAACACTTTTAACACATTTAACCCACTGATAGCTTTCAAGTTGTCAGGAATGTACACATAAAACGCAAATATTCTTGTCTTGTGGGTACTCATATTTAACATACAGCTTTGTTTCTTAAGGGAAAAAAGCAGCACCAGCATGTCTGTGTGTTCATAGATATTGAAACGATACTGGCAAATTAATAACTCTGATTTTAATTTTTTTTCTTTGGGCTGGGATGTTCCCATCAATTTTAAATCCACTGATTTTCAGTGGCATTCACCTTTCCTGTCCGTTCTATTGAGTGTGCTGTTTATGTTATGTGCATATTTTTGTACTATTTCACAAAACACATATCTGAAAGTGAAGTGACGGGAGGATGTGAAACTTTCTGCTGCTAGATGGCAGCAGAGTACAGATTTTGGGCTTATGTGTATGTCTCATTTGCAGGGCATCATGGATTTGGTACGCCTGTGCTACTTCTAATCATGGCATCTGTTTTAGAAGAAGGCCACAAAAAAAAGACCCATTTGTTCTGTGGACGTTGTTCTGGCTCTGGGTTTTTCTCCTGACCAAGCCTGCATTAATTCATACCATCAACTCTTTAGAATGCCTGCTTTTTACCTGTTCCTCTGAATTTATCTGACAATCTTTTTCTCAGCCCATTTGTCACATGAAACAGATTTTAACTGCCTCACTTTTTTTTTGCAAAAGTTGTCAAACCAGCCAAACGTATATGGGGAGGGACTTTTGGAGTGTATACAAGATAGTATACAGGAGTGTGCCTGTATATGCACTAAACCTCAATTTTTTCCGAGCTGCATCCAGAGCTAGCAGAATAGCCAACTATTACATAACATTTTAGGAATAAAAAATCTCTTCACGCATGCACTTTCTTAATGTTTATTGATATACCACTTGTCTTCCTTTGGCTTGAAAAAGGTGTAACAGTCAATTACAGTCAATCGGTAAAGATAGTAAGCTATATTACTTGCACACACATTGCTCCAAAAATTGCAATATAATGTCTCCTTGGCAGTTTTCCTATTGATTTTTTTTTTTTAAACTTGAACTAACGCACATGTTTGTTTTGAAAATCAACACAAAGCCTAATACAGTTATAAAGATGAGCTTAATGTATCTCTATGTTTCCATAATTTAAATTACAGCTAAATAAAGCCAGAATAGTCAAGTTGTTACTTTTAAAAGAGGTAACTGTACATATAAAACAATTAGCAACAAAGTGCTTTATAAAAGCTGTGAAATACAGTAGGACACACAGTAACAAAATATGTATACACAATACCAAATATCAGACTCATATTTAAATGCTTCATTTAGGGACACTGAGCCAGAATGTCATTGTGGAATAAATTTGCTTCGCTTAGCATAAAGAATAAAAACATGGAGAAAAACAGCTACTTTGGTAATATAAAAAAATCCTGATTCTGATTTTATGTGTATAGTTTTACAAAAACAAACGACAAAGATGAATGAGTTTTACCAAATCAGTAATAAACTCCATTTTCTGTTTCTGAGCTTACCCAGATTCTATTTTGTATTTTTATCTGATATCAGTAATCTATTCTGGAAGTTATTTCTCATCCACGTTCTATGTGTTTTAATGCATATCCAAATCTTTGCTGTATGAATTGTGAAACAAAATATCTTCTCTGTGAGTTGGACACGTATTGTGTTTTTAACATTTGGGAATAGACTCTATGACTTTTGACTTACTCTTGAAGCGAGTAAGTGTGGAGAAGTTTTGGAAGGCCTTACCTCAGCCCTAAAAATCCTTCAACGCCAGTTTTTTACTCGTTCAGGATGTTGCATGGCAGTGACCCCTAAAACCGATGTCACAAAAATTTGATATGCCAAACAATCTCTTACGATTAAGGCAACCTGGAGATGGTTTGTCACACAGAAAAAGTCCAGCTGTCGCTACTTGCTGTGTCGAAACTTGGCTGTCGACCGGCCGTCGTTGTCCTGATTGCCGGCCAGTGGGGGACCGGACAGAGGGGCGGTCACTGACGTTGAGTTGGTGATCGTGTTGATGTGAGGGCCGGGGCCTAGGAGCTGGACGTCCACGGCGACCGTGGTGAGGCCCAGGGAGACGTGGTGTGAGAGCAGCAGGGGGGGGCTGCCGTGCGTGATGCTGAGGCTGTGCTGGATGGGAGGGACGCACGCCTCAGAGCTCTGAAGGGTCACAGAGGAGCGGAGGACCTCCCCGGGCCTGGAGGCCGGGGCGGGGGCGGGGGCGGGGGAGGGGGAGGGAGATGGTGAGGGTAGAGAGGACGGGGGAGGCAGAGTGTCCAGGCACGGGCTGTGGTCGTCCCCTCTGCTGCTGGTCCAGTCCTCAGCGCAGTGCAGCTGGACGCTGCGCTGGGACAAACTGCAGACCTTCTCTTCCTCGAACGATGGGTCAATCTGCAAGGAGAGCGAAACGATTATGAATGGGGCCAAAAGAATAACACAACTCTTGAAAATGCAGATGACCACATGGATACATGCTGATGCATTGCACAATTTACAGCAGAACCAGCAGTGTTGGGATGTTTGTTTAGATTTTAACAACATGACTAGATCAACTCCATAAAGCCTCAATTCAAAATTATATTGCCGGATCCCTTTTACACCCCTGCAAAAAAATAAGAAAATATCATAATTCAACAACAAATCACCAGTTGGTCAAAAACATACTACAAGCAAATTGGATGTATAAAGTTTAGATGTAGTTCATTTTGTATGCACATATAAATGTGTATTATGTCGTTTTTCACCTTGTGGTGATATTCATACGCTCTACAGATGATTTTCAAATGAAAGAATCATTAGCTGACATCTATTAAACCTTTACAAATATGCTTTTAAATATCAGGGCCCTGGATTTTAGCCCCTATAAACTATCAGACCCGACAATTACAATGTGCTCCGACTCAGAGGAATAAAAAACAAGTAGCCACAAACACACATAGAGAAAAAGGTATAATAATGCAGTTATTTTGTGCCAGAAGACTGGGGCTGTCACTATGTCACTAGGAAAATTCCAAATAATACTTTTTTACCGTCTTTCCTACCCTCACATGCACAAAAAGAACATGGGAGCTCCACAATCAAGGATCAGCCATAAGGACGCAGTAACTCTACCCACCACTGTGCAGCCAGTACGCACGCATCACACATCATTACACAACTACCATGCTCTTGTGTTTTGGGTTGAAGACCTTTGTGTCAACGATGGGCTCCGGATAGGTCTCCACAGTGACCGAGTTGTTGTCCAGCGTGGGCTGAGTGAGCTGCTCCAGCTCCCCGGATGTGGGCTCCAGCTGCACCGTGATCAGGCCGGGCCCGGGGGGCCTGGCCCGGGTGTCCGACGTGTTGGGGCTCTGCTCGACCACTGAAACACACTCATCGTCCTCAAAGGCTCTGGGCAAGAAACACAGCCATTATGTTAATGGGAAAAATGGCGATAATGGGAGAAAATGTATTATAAACATTCATGCATTTGTCTTTCATGTATTTTTCCTTTTTTTGTTGCCGTTCTAATCACCTGTTTGTGCATCCTGTAACCCGATGTTCAGCATTTCGAACTGGAAGACCCATATTCCTCTGAGCTGTCAACGACATCTGATTTAGCTGCAAGTTCCATGGCTTGATACATAAATCTGTCATGAATAGGTGTTGCAAGAGGATATTAATGGCATATGTGGAATAAGGGTTAGGTTTAATGAACCTGGATGAGCTTGACTTAATCCGCTTCATTTCTATTATTAAGCTAATTTCGCCGGGCTTGGAATATTTAAGGTAAGACTGAAAATTTTACTTAACAGCTAGTTTAAGTGTCATACATACTATAAAGCTAACTTGCTATATTTGCTTTAACTAACTTCATCATTTATATGAAACTAGTTTGGTTTACCATGGCTAAAAGATCAAACATGACGTTTAACAGTGTTTTTTCAAAGCTAGTTCATTATCACGTAGTTTGTCTGTAAACACATGAACCGTTGTGGCAGGCCGTTAGCGTAATGAGAATTTCTCTGACCTGCTCGGCTGGTTGGTACTGGTTCATTCTTCCGGACCACGGAATAGAAGGTGACAGTGATGAAGATGAAGGCCAAAGACACACCCACTCCCACCACGATGGGAACGTCGTGCTTCTCCAGCACGGGCAGCCACGGCCGCGACCGCCGGGTCAGTCTGGGACACGCAGAACACACCAATGGTCACTCTTGCCCACATTTCACAAACTTCACAGCTATGAACGTCATCATCTTTTGCATTGCGCCTACTTGGGGTCACTGCTCGTCATGGGCGACTGAGAGGTGTTCCTCTTTAACAACCCCGGGAGCTCTGTGCTGTTGGATGGTTCCTCTGTGGCGTTCAGCCCATCGGTTACGTTGACCGTATGAGTGACCTCACTGTCCGACACTGAGGAGGCGGTGTCTTGGAGAGGAGCGCTTGCTGAGGGAAGCTGTGGACGATGCTGTGATTCAGGCACTGAAGCAATTGTCGGAAACTGACCGTGAGCTTGGGATGGCCGAGGCTCACTGACTGAGGAAAGTGGAGGCAGCGAGAATGGACGTGATGTTGAAAGCTCAGGTTGAAACTTTGGTAAGAAATTCAAGGTAAAAGACTGGTGAGAAGGAGGTTTGGATGCTTGTTGGGGAGTTGGTGAAGGATTCGAATGAATTGGCTTGATATTAGGACTCACAGTTGGTCCGTGGTGGGCCGGCGGTGTATTTGTTACCAGAGGGTAAAAATGTGTGTTTGATAGATAGGATTCAGTTTGTGACTTTGTGGTGAGGGTGACCAAACCTGAACCTCTCACTTCTGTTTGGGTCACAGGACTTTGTGTTGGAGTTGGCATGTACGCATCAGACTTCAAGAATCCAAACGGTCCTCCCACTCTGAGTTTAGATGATGGCTGAGTCTCAGTCTTCTCTTTGCCTTGACTTTCCAAAAACATAGCAGGGGTGTTAGATCGCTGAGAAGTAGACTCTGGAAACAATTCTTCACTGACTTGTTGCTGAAAGTGTGCGCTTGGTGCTGTGTTGCTTTCAGTGAGCAGATACTGAAGGTTTAAACTCAAAGCTTCGCTCGTGGTTTCCGGGGTCGGGATGCGTGTCATTGGTGGTTGACTAATTGAAAAAAGAAGTGGATGTCTTTTTAGTGGCAGTTCGGTGTGGAGCTCAACGGACTGGAAGTTTGGACGGGGAGGAGGTGGTAATATAGGAGGCTGCATCTGTGTGATCAAGGACTGAGCTGGACTGGTGGTTTGGCGATTCAAACGGGGTTGTGACTTTGATAGCATCTTAAGCTCAGCGACAGCTTTCCTTGAAGAGATTGGCAATCTAGTTGTACTTCCGAAGCTGGAATCTGCAAATTATAATTGAAAATATTTGGTGATTTATGAGTTATTGTAGACACAAGCACAATTTACTTTAAATACATGGATGATTGTACAGTACATGCTATTTCAAGAAACCCATTTGGTGCATGTTCACAACAATAACATATTAATCACAATCATAATCATAAAACAGCAAAGAACCAGCAATCATGTTTTCATTGACTGTAGCTTAAAATCATTATTTGACTGTCACATTCTTCCTAGATGAAAAAAACTTTTCTTGTAATCATGGGTAAATGTATTAATTTGTATGTTTTTCTTTTGCTTTCCTCAACAAATAATTAACTTCATAATTATACTATTATCAAAGAGGAGAAAAACCAACCATCTGTGCTTCTGGTGATAGAAATATCTTCTAACACAAAACTTGCCAAGTTGTTTTGTGAAAAGAAACCAAGTAACTTATCACAGTAATAACTTGGAAAAAGCTTTTGTTCCAAATTTTATTTCTCAGTTAGAATGATTGTAATAGCCGTAATAAAAATACCCCACAAAATTTGTAGCCTTATTTAAATTTCTATGCAACAGAACTGATGAATGGAGCCACAAAAAGTACATACGTATTGTTTTGACATGGTGTGCTTGTATTTGTGGATGATTTGTTGAGTTCAGTTCCCACACGGCCATAGAGGCAGTTGACTGGGAAACCAGCAGGTCTTTGTTAACATCAGTGCTCTAGAAAATATATTTTCAAAAGAATGTTAATTCAAGAATAGGTACATTTCACACCACCAGAAATTATGCAAACCACAAAACTACTGTGATAGGCCACCAAGGTGAGCACATATAAAGATTTCACTTGACTGAGAATACACAGATACAATACAATACACAGATTCTATATGAAATTACACACAGTAACTAAATTTGAAGTCCACACGATGATTTTAAGAACAAAGCAGGGCAGTGGCCCGGATTATTACTCACAGCAGACGAAACCTTGCTAGTCTGCTTGTCTCTATCCAGAGGATGATCCTCAGCTTCAGGCAAAAAGCAGGATGAAAGAGAACCAGCAAGAAAAAGGTGGGATTGGTCAAAATCCTCTTGTTTTATAATGATGGCGACTAACTCACTGAGAAGGAGTAATTACATCAAATATTTTCATTTAAAAACTCCTGGCATGCTACATTCAAGATGGAATGAGCTGATAAAGAAAATCTAATGACGATTAGAGCTATTGGAGTGTTGTGTTGGACGAGTGCTTATATTATATTTTCCCCCAAAGCCTTAACTGAAACTAGGTGTTTAAATCCACCCACCGGTGATGGTGAGGACCGTACGCCTCTGATCTCGTCCGGCTCTGTTTTCAGCCGTGCAGAAATACTCCCCTGCATCAGAGTACTTCACCCTGGGAAAATGCAGGGCTCCCTCTTCTAGACAAACGGGGAAAAAATATTTACATCCCGGGCCGTAAATCAGACAGACCGGTAAATCACTGTCCGCCCCTCACCGTCGATGTGCTCGTCTGTAGTGTGACCGACGGGGGTCCGTGCCCCCGCTCTGCCCCTCGTCCAGCTGTGCGTGATGGGCCGGATCCCCACAGCTCCACAAGGCAGAGTCACTGAAGCTCCAACCTTACTGCTGACCTGGCCAACGTAGGTGACTATTATGGGGTTCACTGGAAAAAGAGAGGAAAAAAACAAACAAAAGCTCATATAGATAAAATAAAAAGTCATTTCAATTATATATTACAGCAAGCTGTTTAATCTTATTCATCAGAGCAACACACAGTTGACTTGGCTGTAGTTATTTACAGTATGTGACAGATATTATCATTAAAGAGGATTTTTCTGTCTGTAATTCTTACCAGCGACTCTCAGCAGTGCTGTGCTGTGGCTTTCTCCCAGTTTGTTGGAGGCCTCACACACATACACAGCCTCATCGTAACTCCTGACCGACTGAATGTGGAGACTGGCTTTTCCCCGCCTGAATGAGGGGGGAACAAAAAGCTCAAGAGGCGGTTGTGGTGCCGCTTTATTCAGCGCCACAACACAGTGACCTACCCGTACGCGATCTTGCCCCCGGTTTGTTTGGAGTGGCCTCTCTTCACCCAATTGATGGAGGGCAAAGGGTGGCCAAACACCTCACACTCCAGTACGGCACGGGCCCCGAGGGGCACGGTCAACACCTGGGGCCAAAGTTTAACTGTGGGCGGGGCTACAGGGAAAAAAAAAAGGACAAAAATTACCCAGGTTCCTTATTAGGGTTTTTGCTTTAAACTGTGAATGGAGGAACAGATTCACTGCTGGTTGGAACATATTGCAAACTTAAGCTTTTAAAAAAACAGATGATATCTGTATTTACTGGGTTTCTAACGCATTATCCACTACACAAATGCAGTGTTACCGATAGTGTTTTTTACATTTGATATATAGTTGTTTTGTATGAATAGACAAGCCTGAGTGTATATAGAAGGGAGGCCATTTGCATTCTTACCAGCATTGTCACAGAAAGTAGAGTAACACTTGTATAACATCACTAAATATAGAGGAGGTCGTAAGGCCCAGTAGTTCGTATCTATAAAACTTCACTTTTTGGAATCATAAAAACGGGCAGATGAAGGGCTTTGTTAGGTAATATCAGGAATGGGAAACATGAAAATGGAGAAATTCAAATTCATTTAACAATTTGACATCATGATAGCTGCAGGTTAGTTTGTCATGACTCTTCCTCGTTTACGACATGCGTGCTACTTTTTGAGACTTTACCGTGATTTCTTTTCTGTCAGACGCTCTGTTGACATGAGATCACAACATGTATATTAATTGGCCAGAGTAGTGGGCAGATGTCACCCTAAGAACTAGACACTTTTTGTCTCTGTGAATAGCTAGTTTGTGTAGTGTTTAGTAAATCTGCGTGTCTAGAACAGCGTGGCACGTTTTGTGGTAGTGTAATACCCAGCACAGTTAGTGTCGCCCTTTTCGAGGTGAGGAATCTTTGAAGGAAGGTATTAGACGCCCTGCAGAAGTAGCTGCCATTGTCGTCCACTTGGATACTAGAGAGAAGCACATGACAGGAAAACACAGATTTGAAACACCTTTGTAAGTGTTCATGAAATGTTTTTACAAGCTTATTAAACATTAGTGTTATTAAAGTCTATGTATGTACATATTAGTAAAAGACAATTAAGATAGTTTATAACTGATAATATCCATCACACTTTAAAAAAGATTGGAATGATGTATAAAAACAGAAAGTCTAAAAAATACAGAAAATCTAAAATACACCCTTATTCATAATAAAGCATGAAAAGCATGTCAAAACATGTAACTATTTCAGGGCCATTATTTTCCAAAAGAGACTGTGTGTCTGATTGTGTGTCTCTGTGTTTTTCTGGTGATGGAGAAATGCAAATCATCATATTTCACCGCCGTGGTTATTTCAACCCGGGTAAAACATATAAGACAGGTGGCCACTGATAACACCTGTGGAAGAAGAGGTCTCCGGTGGGCAGCACGGTGGCGTGAGCTGTGGGAGTGAACAGCTGGCTGTTTTTGAACCAGGACATCTGAGCTTCTGGTCTGCTGTGTGGAGGCCTGCAGGTGAGCGTAACGTTTTCCCCTCTCCTCACCGTCAGGTCTGAGGGCTGCTGCACAAAACTCCAGTCCATCTCTGAAACACAGCACAAATACTCAAACATCGGGCATTTTGAATTTATTGAGAGCTAAAAATGAGCATTTTTAAGACGTTTAGAGACGTTTAATGTAGTTTCAGCATGAGTTGGTTTACAATACCAGCTGCAAGTAGGAAAGCTGACTGTGACTTGATTCTCTCCTTTTGGTTTGATGCTTCACAGTGGTACCAGCCCTCATCTTCCCGGGTCACATTTCTGTTTAAAACAACTGGAGATTAAACTTATGTCCGACTGGAATGTAAAATTTCACTTTAAAAAAATTATAATGAAACTGTCTCAAACTCCTCAGACAAACTCACTGGAATTTATCAATGTGATACAGCCGAAGATTTGATAGTGTCCTATTTTAGCCAGCAGTTTTTTTATTTACATTTTTTTAAATTCAAGTCATTTTCTTTTTTTAAAAAAGCTTGAAATTGTTTTTCAGTATTTTGTGTTCTTAACTTTTTAAACTGTGTGTAGTATTAATATCCTGGTAACTGCTTTTTTAATTTTCTGAATCTCCAACAACATTACACTACAAACACAACGCTGAATCATGAACTTAAACTTAAACGTGTAGATACTTTAAAAAGAAAAAAAAACAATACAAAAAGGCATGTGGTTCTGTTCAGGTTCAGACCTGAATGTGAGCAGCTGTCCATTGTTCTGGAGGCTGAATGAGGTGGAGCAGTTTAGCAGGAGGCACCCGTCTTTGAACCAATGCACCATGGGAACAGGGAAGCCATAGACAGTGCATCGCAGGGAGACTTCGGTTCCCGTAGCAACGGTTATGTTTTCAGGGCCCCGTATCACATGCAGCCTCCTCGGAACCCCTGCAAACCAGACAGAAGATACGACAACCAGCAGCCAAAGACACAGAACGAAAGGACTAACTTGTTCAAGTAGGACAGCAATCTGCGAAAGAAAGATGACACTCACTCAGTACAGTTAGTTTGGCTGGTTTGCTCTTCTTCTCTTCTCTGACGTTCAGTAAACGGTTGTGCGTGACACAGACATATGTCCCATCATCCTCTAAAGTTACATTCATGAGGTACAGAGTGCCTGAAGTCTTCTTTTGATGACCGCCTCCATACTCCCCCTGAACCAAGAAACACACTTTAAAGCACATAATTGTCCATCTAAGTCAAATACAGTGCTAACACAAGACGATTCGATGTTCTACAAAGTCATTCAGATCTTTAGAACTGGCCCAAGGAGGTTACCTGAAACATTTTGCCTCTCTTGACCACCTTTCCATCTTTGAGCCAGGTGATGCCTGCAGGAGGGGAAGCTTCTCCTGAAACACACTGGAAAAAAACAGCCTCTCCCTCCCTGACTGTCTGGTCCTGAGGACTGAAGAACACATCCTCCAGACCTGTAAAGCAGAATAGAAACACATCACGCACGTTACAGACAGATACTATATTTTCTAAACACCAATTTGATTTTTGAGCCTGGACTTACCCAGCAAGGAGGCAACTGCCAACCCAGACAGAATGAGGAGCCAGAGAGGGGAAGTCATGTGTGGCAGCAAACAGATGGAAACACAGACTTGCATCCTACTGCAGAGCTTCCCGGAGGGTGCGAGGAGACCGACTTCTTTCTCCATCCATGACGTCAGCCTGTAAAGTGCACACTTGTGAAATAACTTTACTACACAATAATCACTTCCTCGTTCACAGAAAACTTCTGAGTACTCCATTCAAACACGCCGGGTGGCCCTGAGAAGTAAAACACTGCTACACTGAAGAAAGAGCAATGCTGTTTGGAACTTAACCATCTTTCTTGCCATCTTGTCACCTCTCAAACTGCAACAAAACAGCAGGTCAAAGCACAAGGGAAGAAGAAGGAAATGTACGAGTGACATATTTAAGAGATGTTTCTCAACTGCACCAGTGGTCAGATCAACCTTCACACTCTTTTTCTTTGTTCAGCAGCGCAAAAAAAGCACAAAATTGTGATGCGATACTAGACAGGATAGGATTTAGCTTTAATTTCTTTCACAAATAGACTTGATATTTAAACCTCAATTACTGAATTTGAATATCACTGATGCTAGTGTAACAGATATCACACACTCAGTACGACCAACAGCTCTTCATTTTATTCCCTCGGTAATATAATTTGATGTTAAGCATTCAGATCTCTGACAATAACAGTCCCCTTCCAAACCACAAACACCAAAGTTGTCCTGTTCTCAGATCCATTTTCGATCAGATTCCTGTTAATGTATTCAGCAGATGAATTTAACATCCCCCTCCTCTCTTAGCACCCTCCCTCCCCTTTTCGCTCTGCTTCAATCCTATTTTGGTTGTGATTCTGTGGCACCACAGCGAGCTAAGCTTTGTCCTCTTTAGTCTATTGAATGGGCAGAGCCACTTTATAGAGCTCACACTGTGGTCCTCCACTCAATGAAAGTGACATGAAAAGAGGCTGCGGAGCTTTGTACTGTGAGGATCAGTTATCGGCCCTTGCGAGGGCAGCTAGCCCCGTCTGATCATATAGGCTTTCATGATCCTCAGCATGGCCATGTAAGGGCTCATCCTTTATCATTTGAATGTGATGTGCGATTTTGTTTTTGCCTTTACTTCTTGCCAAAAGAAAAAAAGTAAAAGCTAAGAAGTTGCTAAACTAAAGCAACCTGAAAATGATGATGCAGCTCAGTAAAAAGTTTCTCATTCTAGGGGAATTTTATACAACTGAAGTAAAAGTGAATGAAAATTTAGCTTAAATCTTTTTGGGGTGGGGGGGCAATGCATTATCTTTATTTGCTTTGGCCCAAAGCTAATAAAGGTAATGACAACCTGCAGTTTTTTTTTCCTCAGACATCTTCATCAAATTGTGAAATTTGGAAGCGTTGAAAAATGATTTAGATAAAGTGAAGAGAAATGGTAATATACATGTAAAAATTGAATTTGCATGAAAATAGCAACAGATACATACGCTCGACTGGACTGAAGCTGAATCTATTCTAATAACCGTCCACTCAAGAAATGCATTATTTAAAGGGACCAAAAGTATTCTCCTGTGATGAAATCCCTGAGGCTGTGATGAAAAAGCTCATCCTTTTCACTCTCTAACATGCCATCCCAGTGATTTTAGCCCACACATTAACTTTGTCTTTTTGAATCAGTATTGTATGCATAGCTAATGTTTTTTTTACATCTCCTCTTGAGAGAATGGTACAATGGAGGTACTGAAGTTAGACTACAAGTGTTTTAGTTGACATTAGCTGGCATCTCAGAAGACCAAAGGTCATACACAAAATTTCCAAAGAAATTTTCCATACGTATATCGTCCCCCCCCCCCCCCCCCTCCGTGCATGCATTGCAACTTTGCAATGCATTCATCCGGCAGAAATACAGAGAACATAGTAGTTCAGCACCTGTTGTGCAAGATCCATTTGCATATGTTTGAAAACAAACTGCTGCATGATCAGAGGCGCCAAACGGACGGACAATAAAAATGCCATTTATCACACTATAGTCATTATACTGTAATCCCACCCTGTACTTTTAAAGGATCGGTGTAACATCTGGTTCGGTTTCAGATCACTCACCTTCAGCGGTGTCTGTCGCTCCTTCCCCTCCTGAAGCTTCTGCTGCGTAGAGCAAGACCTGCAAGCAGCAGCTGCTCACATGCACTGTACACCCCCAACCCCCCCACACACACCCCTAAACACTGTGAATTCTCATTAGAAGCCAACAGCTGTATTACTGAACAAAACCATTAATTGTGGTCCAGTCATTTAAACAGTGGCGAAAATGCAAAAGACAAAAGAGTCTGAAACCAAGTTTGTTCTGATCCTAGCAGAAAAGGATTCTAGCAGGAATATTCCAGCGAGCTGTGCAAAATAAGAAGGTGATTGCAAACATCTTGGTGTTTCCTCAGATTCTGTTTGCACATATTATCATTGCTCTCCTCTGATTTGTGCAGAATGTCCGTATCTCTAAAGGTTTGATGTAAATCTATTTGGCTCCCTTCTTATTCCTATCAGGATCATGATTAATGATGCCAGCTCAAGATGAAAGTCATGAAAGGAAGTCATTCCTCCGTGCACATGATAATGTGCATTTTGCTTGATTATTATGTTGGAGTACTTCTCCTGTTTGTTGCACCACCATCACTGGAGACCTACCACGAAATTCCCAACAGACATTTAGTCTCAGTCTCAGCCAACAGGAAAAGCTAAAATGGTTAAAATGCCAATATACTGCTACTCATACTTCCTAAAAAGACCTGCATATATGACACTACTTTCACTGATTATGTTACATTGGTGTTAAATTGGTGCATAAACACAAATGCTGTGGCTGCAGTCAGCACTACTTGGACCAGATGAAGTCCTTGCAAATGTAAATTGGCAGTCGGTTCAGCATAATCAAATGGAAATTAAACTACAAATGCACCAATTTATAATCTATGCAAGAAGGGGTGATTTTAATTAAGCAGACGAAAATCTATCAAATGCTCCGGACATCAAACGCAGACAGTTAACCAGAGGAGGTGTCGGCTACCAGTTTTTCAACACCGCTTATGGGAGGGAGCAGTTTACTGGGAGGATTTGTCCAATTATTGTTAAAATAACAGAGTTGTGTTCTGTTCCCACACAACTGCTTCAGTGCACTGTGGCATTTATTCCACAAATGTCTGGTACTCCACAGGAAGGATACAAAGTTGACACTTGTCAACCACAGGTGCACCTACAGAGTGGCAGAAAAATCACTTTTTAAAAAATATATATACTTAAAATGCTCCTGTTTTTTATTAAATAGGTAGTGAATTATCTTGTTAATTTTCTCAGTTTAATAAGACGAGTCAAATGACTTTAAGTCAGAGGAGAAGATCTTCTATAAGATGGAACATTCCCTAACAAAGACATTTCCAAACTCCCATGGCATCCACATCTTCAGGCGTCTAATAGAAAGTAAAAAAACGATGACTCTTATCCATTCACTGGTTTAATATGAAAGACATACAGTCCAACGCATGGTGAGCACATCATTTTACATCATGGTAAATAAATCTGAAATCAGGTTTTTACATTAACTTTTTCTACTGGCCATTTTCGAAAGGGATGATCAGCTCTGGTGATCTGGAGTATGCATAAAGTAAAAAAGGATGTAACATCATTTGATCAGGAAGTACAATAAAAAACACAGAATATTTCATGAGTATGTATTTTCAGAGATTTTAACCGGCAAGCTAATTGAGATAGACCGCTTTAGAATGCACAAGAACAGCATGTTGATAAGTTTGATTCCTACTTTTTTCAAAGGAAAAATATAGAAAGACAAGTAAGGAGAAGGTTTTCCAGCTAAAGTAGATAATGAAAGTCAGGACAGTGCGGCGAGAATCACAGAGACAAGAAGAGAGGTGAGGAGGAGTCCCGGGGTGGTTGGGACGGGGCGCGCTGCACTGTGGAACTCAGTTAAACACAAAGCCTGCTCCAGCATGTGATGAGTCTCAGCACTTACGCCTGCAAATCACATGACACACTGATGTCAGGACAGACAGAGTTAGAAAACCGTCTGTTTTAGTCATATTCATTTTGAGATCTTACCGTTTTGGGACCATTCCCTCCAAGCGTGCACATATTCCGGGTCGTATTCTCCATTCGGGGCTGGGTCAATTGGAAGACGGACGTCAAATGAACATTTCTTTGCCACAAAAAATGTTGCAGGTTATATGACGTGGTGGCGGTGTGAGGCCGCGGTTACCTTTAGAGTGGTCTGCCAGAAGGTGTTTCAGGTCTCGCAGAGCCCCGGTGAGGTTCTCCAGTCGGTGCTGCAGGTGGAGGTTTTCCTCTTTCAAAGTGTGGATGGTGTCCTGCAGCTCATAGGCCGCTCCGCAGCCGGAAAGCAGACAGACACACCAAACAGCGGCAGCCGCTCGCAAGATGGAGAGCATTGTTGTTATTCTTGGTGTTAGCTGTTAGTCAAAGCTGGTTTAGTTGCTGTTGAATCTCTGTGCAGTCCCACAGTGTTTGAACATCAGGTGGAAGTGCTGATGTCATTCAGGAGCTGGCTAGTTCCTGTGTCAGAATTGATTCAGTGATGGGTAACTAAATGCTTTTTGGTCCTCTGACCTACTCTAAAGGATCAATTGTTCTGCTTTGGGTCTCAGAGCCCACATTAGACGGACACCGACGCAGAATATTCAGGAGTTGTAACACTGGAGAAAATACAGGTAATTGATTTGAGAGAAAGTCAGCAAAAAATGTCAAAAGTTAGATCTCAGATGAACAAATAAATTATTTGCCAAATCACGTTCATATGTCTACATATGTCTATACATGTCTCGATAAGGAGCAGTGGTTTTCTTTTTCAGCAGGTCAGACAAACCAACAGCTGGAGAGACAAACAAGGCTGTTGCATTTTCATTCATAAACCTAAGAGAATCCTAAAGAATTGGATCCAGATACTCTCCATGGCTGATATTCACACAGCCACATATTCTGTGATGGGACTCTGTTCTCACAGCTCACAAACAGGCAAACGCTGTGTTTGCTTATTTCATTTATTTCTGGTTCCCCCAAAATAATCACATCTTTTCAAATCAAGATCAGATTTCATCTGGACTTTTGGTTAACATAACACAGTGGTAAACATAGCATAAACACAACATTTGGAGGATATCGTAATTAATTTCTTTCTTTTTTGTGCCAAAATTTAAAGAAAATATAAGACATTTTATAGTTTTCTCAACATTTTTTTAACGCTTTCCTATTCTTTCAATGTGAGCTAAAGGGACAAAAAAAATCTAAGATCTGCACCAGTTCATGTAAGTTAGAAAGTCTGCAGTTGAATTTTTGTCTGCCTCTTGTTGAGAGGCAGGAAATTTGACCTCGAGATCTGCCACAGGAAACAATGGAAGTAACACTCCTTTAATCCAGAAATTCACTTCAGCAGAGTAGCAAAGATGTTGGTCGTTACCAGTCAATTGTGTCCATAATTTATGCCAAATACTGAGCATAAATTAAAGGTGTAAAGGTGAAACTGACAGTCTATTAAAATAAAAGTTCATTATAAAGAGGTAGTTATAAATGACCAGTGCAGGTGACAGTCATGTGATCCACTATTCAAACATTTAAAAATATGTTTTAACTTATTACATTTTAAACGCCATCTTTGAATTATGAAGATTACTTCATTTTTCTGGGGAGTTGTAGATCATTCTCACAGAAAGGATTGCGCACGGCGGAGGAGTGTCTGGACCGGAAATGCTCCGGAGGGGGCTTCCGTTATCATCCGGGTTGATTTCCGGTCACGGACGACCAGGATGGCGACTCACATGTCGAGGTGCAGAACCTGGAGTCGGGTTCAAAGGTAATGTTGCTCAAACCCACGCTGTGTCACGGACACATTTTGAGAACAGAGTGACAGTACAACGTGTGTCCACAGTATATTTTGTGTTGCAGCCTCTATTAAAAGCTGCATTCTTAAAACTGCTCTGCGTCCCCATCGCTAAAGGTTAGCTCTGGCAGCTAGCACGATGCTAGGTAGCAGTCAGACGTTATGTCGTTACTCATGTCACTACTGTCAGCCAGACGTCTTTCTCAGTGTCTGGAACAATGCTTTATAGCTTTGAGGTTATCTGTGTTATTAAATATCATATAATTTAGCTGGTTTACGATTTATGTATTACTTTGATTTCTTTTTAGATATTATCTGGGTTAGATAACAGCTAGCTTAGTATGGGTCGAAATCTTTTATGATTAAGATATTATCTGTGTAATGTCTTAGTCTTACTGGCTATATTATTGCTTTCTTAATTAGTATAGGAAGGGTAAAAGTAGGCTTGTCAGTTTGAGTGTTGTAAAAATTCTTCAAAACTGTGCACGAAGCTTAATTTGAGTGAACCGTTAAAATGTTGAACAGGCGCACAAAGTGCCAAACCCCCTCCGGCTAGCTAACATTGGCTTAGCATCTGTTAGTTGTAGTGGTCAGAGCTGAGCTCTGCTACTTGTAAAGCTAGTTGATGTTATTGTTTTGACAGAGTTTAAATAAACTGTTCTCAGTAACTGTAATGGGTGTCTCTTAAGCTCATTGGAAAAATAATGACACATGGAGGATAAAACTTGAAAGCCATTTAAGTCAGCATGTTGATACATTTCCATGCTTTTTGATTAAAACACAGTGTTGTATAACATAAAATCAAGAGATGTTTGCAATACCTAAAATACAAAGAAGCCGGGCTGGAGTGTCTCCTTCACTTTGGGCTGTCTGCTTTCTCAGTCTGAGATCAGCATTGAGTTGTTGTTTCCCCATCACAGCAGAAAAGCATGTTAATGGATTTTTTAGTTTAGTTTAAATACACGTGATCAGGCTTGGAGGTTTTCAAAAAAATGTGCCAGTCAGGTGCTGGTTGAGTCTGTGAAAAAGAACGGAGCAAAACAGTGTGCCTGTCACTGAATTATTCATAAGAGGTCACATTGTGAATCATACTTTAATTATAATTTGTGCAGCAATTATTGTTGTGAAAGTCCCGTAGTAAAAGGAGTGAGCGTGGGAGGTTATCTTTCTCAGATCGAACAAATGGAAGTTTGTCCGATGAGCTAACTGACTTAGGAGCTGGCTTTTGCAATTTTCAGTCGATTTTCCTGATTTGGTGTGGCTGATCAATATTACTGACTAACTCTGTAACTACACAATATTCATATACTGATGGTTTATGCCTTTAAGTAAGACAGTATACACAACTTTATTCCAAGGAACAGAGGGACTTTCATGCATCCTTATTTTAAAAAAATTTTAATCTGATTCACTGACTGCAACCGCAAGTGGATCTGTACAAAAAGCAAATTGGGCCGAAAATAACAATTCTCCCTGATTCCACCATAGACCACACTGCTTTAATGTAAAACGCTGTAAACTTACTGAAGACATTGGTTCAGAAAACAGTCCTGAAGCATTTTAATGCAGCATTCAGAGCTTCCCTCCCTCCTGCTGTCACAGGTTCGGGATCGCGGCCTACAGAAAGTACAGCAGCAGCAGCGGCGGTTACCCCAACATATCGCTCTCCACGCCTCTCCCCGGGATCCCCAGTCCGGTCTTCGCCTCGGTGGATGGTCAGGAAAAATACGAGACCAGGATTACAACCCTAGAAAACGGCCTTAAAGTAGCCTCCCAAAACAAGTTTGGTCAGTTCTGCACAGTAGGAAGTAAGTCGGATCTCTAATCAGATGTCAGTGACACCCGCGTATTAAATTATCTGAATTTGATTTGCTGATTCTTAAACTTTCTTTCTAGTTTTAGTCAATTCTGGATCAAGACATGAAGCAAAGTACCCCAGCGGAATAGCACACTTCTTAGAAAAACTTGCCTTTTCTGTACGTAAAACAAACACTGCAAGTTAAAAGTTCGACTGGGTTTAGGGGCCTAAAGTTACGTCTTTTTTTTCTCCTCCTTCAGTCCACGGCGCAGTATGGGAGCAGAGACGAGATCCTGCTCACACTGGAAAAACACGGGGGCATCTGTGACTGCCAAACGTCCAGGTAGGCCCTCCTGTTAGTTTTTGAAGACGCTCCATGCGTGGGAGGGGGGGCGGCCCGGTGAGAGCCCGCTGACGGGGGGCCGGTTTCCCGTGTCTGTGCAGAGACACCACCATGTACGCCGTGTCCGCCGAGGTCAAAGGTCTGGACACCGTGGTGGGCCTCCTGTCCGACGCCGTCCTCCAGCCTCGCCTGCTGGGTGAGTCCGAATGGGGACCCCGGCACGTTGCCGCCGGCGACCCCGGCATGTCGCCGCCGGCAACCTGAGCTGTGTTTGTTCTGGTGCAGACGAGGAGATCGAAATGACCAAGATGGCCGTGCGCTTTGAGTTGGAGGATCTGAACATGAGGCCGGACCCGGAGCCGCTACTCACCGAGATGATCCACGCCGTAAGTGACATTTTCTGTGCCATTTCTGGGTTTTAGTTTATTTTTTCCTTCGTCATGTATTTGAATAAAATGTTTGCTACAAAGAGACCCAAATAGAGACAAGATTTTATTTCACAGTAGCTTAATCTCACCTCCTAATTTGTATGTATTTGATGGAAACTTTAATTGAATTTGAATGGATTTTTTTCTTAAGATCAATTGATCAAAACCGTGGGGGTGATAGAATAGTAGGCCGGGGATCAGTAAACGCGCCGCCGTTTGCAGGCGGCGTATCGGGGCAACACGGTGGGGCTGCCCCGCTTCTGTCCCGCCGACAACGTGGACAAGATCGACCAGACGGTGCTGCACGGCTACCTGCGCAGCTACTACGTCCCCGAGCGCATGGTGCTGGCCGGCGTGGGCATCGAGCACGAGCAGCTGGTGGCCTGCGCCCGGAAGCACCTGCTGGGGGCCCGGCCCGCCTGGGGCCCCGGCCCCCCCGCCGGCGTGGACCTCTCGGTGGCCCAGTACACGGGCGGCATCGTCAAGGTGAGCAGCGGGCCAGCGCCACCTGCTGGAGCTGCAGGAAACGTGCGATTATTGTGTACTATATCGTTATTAAGATATTATAAATGAAGGGTCTCATGAGTCTGCGTGCTTGAATATCAAGAAAAACGCAGAGAATTACAGTAGTTTTGTCTCTTTTTCAACTGAAAACATATAAACATGACACAAAAAAATACAGAACCTGTACTTAACAGGTTAGCTTCTTTTTTTTTTTTGCTACCAACTGAGTCTATATTGGTGCTGATATGCCTCTATTTTCATGTAGGCTATGTCCAATGTCGGTCTTTTTCAAAATGTTAGAGAAAGAGTTTTTTTCCCGTTTTTTTTTTAATAAGAGAATCCTATTCAGAGGCACACACATGCATAATGTTTACAAAATCTCAAATCAATCTCTAATGATTCCATTAATGGAGCAGCTCTGACCTCTCTCCCGTCCAGATGGAGAAGGACATGTCCGACGTGAGCCTGGGCCCCACCCCCATCCCCGAGCTCACCCACATCATGATCGGCCTGGAGAGCTGCTCCTTCCTGGTGGGTGTTCGCCGCT